TTAAAAAATGTTATTTTGTCTTGTTAAACTAGTGATTCAGGTATCTGGACACTTCACATATCCGGACAAATTCACTGAGAACCAAAGGGTCCAAATAATTGAGGGTCCACTGTATACTATTTTATGAGTAATATTAAATTAAACAATATAAATGTATGTAAGAAACACATAAATCTGCCTTGTCTTAAAATGCAAAAATTAACTAATGTTTGTGTTTTTATACAGTAATACAAAGTATGACGTGCAAAAGGGATTCATATGAAAACAAAATGAGAATAATGGAAATTTTCTTAAATTTCTATGTTTAAAATTTCAAGAATGTATGATTATTATCTTTACTGGAATAACATTTTTATTACCCATTTCTTAAGAGCTTCAGTTTATCAAAACAAAAGCACACCATAACGAGTTCAACCTACAGCGTCGTGCTAAAAGTATTCGCGGAAAAATGGCGGCCTTCGTAAAACGTTTACGCTTTGTGTTTTTTTTTCAAATCGTTCACAATCATTATGCAATCGCTTTTTTGTATTTTTACATCATCCCCAAAACTGCGTATGTTAAAGTTTATGGCAGTGATGTCATGTTTGACGTCTGCTAAAGTTAGACTACCGAATATTGCGGACTGTAATCAGCATGGGTAGAAAATCAAAAGAACTGTCACTGGAGATAAAACAGCTTATTATAGATTTTAAAAGAAAACGGACATAAAGTCAGTGAGATCTCAAGAATTATGAAAAATCCCAAATCTACATGAACATCAATTTGAAAGCGTTTCATCAGCGAAAAAGTGTGGAAAGAGCTCCTCGTTCGGGACGTCCCAGGAAAGTGTCAAAACGAGGTGAAGTAAGATTACTTCGTATGGTTAGGAAGAACCGGGGAAGTGTTTTGAAGGATATAACAACTGATTTTAATGATGGAAATTATTGTGAACCTATTAGTCAACGGACAGACAAGCGGAAACGTTTAGCATGGTGTTTACTCAAACGAAGGTGGACTGTTGAACAAACCTATCATAATTTAATCGTGTATACGTCTGGAGATCCTCCTAGGAATCGTACCGTCCGGAGTGCAAGTATGCGATTTCAAAACCAAAAGGTTCCGTAATGATATGGGGATGCATCAGCTGTTATGGTCCAGGGACTCTATGCAAGGTAATATTAATTGAAAATTGTTGGTAAGAATTAAAAGACAGATCCAAAATCACGCCGGAGATATTACCAATCCTGATCAGCTGTTCGCTGTTATTTTGCATACTTTGCAGAATTTCATTATAAAATATATTCAAATCCTTTATAAATCCATCCTAAAACGCATTATTTAACTAAGTACTGAAGGTAAGCGTTTGTATTTGGATGACTTTTAATGTTGCAAGCGCGATAATTCTCAAATCACGTCCGCCATTTTTCCGCAATACTTTTGTCTCGACGCTGTATCTATCAATTGAAAATTCGGTTAAAAGGTCAGTTATATAAAATTGAAATTACAATTTATACCTGTCTGTTTTTTTAAAATTTGTTTAATTTCATAATTAATCGGAAAAGTTGCTTCAAAATAGTAAATACGCTTCATTTTACTATGATGCGGGAAAAATTGCGCAATAGAAACCACAGTCAGCCCCCTCCAATAATGGTCTAACAATTTGCAAGAATGAAATCCTTGTCAGAATTAGCCTTAACAACAGATTGTACTTGTGTCGACAACAGAATTTACGACACAAATAGAGATAACGAACATTATCTCAACTTTAAATGCTAATTGACGTTTTGATTGCATTCTTATTGTTAGGCATTATTTACACTGATTTTTCTTTGGATTTTCCGGATACTTTTATGACAGGAAGCACACGCCTGATGTGACTGACTGGCAGGGGATGCTCACTTCTCCATGGCACAATTAAGATCCCACCTCTGGTGTATTGGCTCTTCGTTTAATCTATGCGTATTTTCTATGCACGAACAATTTTTACAACAACGTAGACTATTTCTTTACAATCGTCAACTTACCTTACTCTTGCAGCAATATAACTTCTACACCTTTATATGGAGTTTATATTACTCGGTTGATTCGATACGCAGAAGCATGCTCTACGTATAAAAAAGTTTCAAAACGAAGTGAATTATTAGAAAACAGGTTAAAACAAGAATATCAACAATCTCGTTTAAATTCATTATTTCATTATTTGGTCGATGAAATGAAATTAACAGCAAATATATTTTATCATTGAGTCATTTGCTGATTGACGTTTTTCGTACTAATTGTTTAGTACTTATATATTATATATTCAAGAAGTGGAGTAAATCAGATGTGGATACTAAAAAAATCTAAAAAAAACTTTTGGACAATTTGAAATCACAAGACTTTACAAAAATCAACAGCATAAAAACTTGCGACTTTTCAACTTTATACACAACAATTCCCCACGACAAATTAAAATCCAGGCTTTTTGATATCATTGACAGCTGCTTCTTTCAACAAAAATGGAAAAAATTATTTTGTTAAAACAGATTCTGATTGCACATATAAGTACTCTGAAGTTGACATCAAGAAGATGCTTGAGTTTCTGATTGACAATATCTATGTGGTTTTTGGAGACCAGGTATTCCAACAATCTATTGGAATTCCCATGGGTACAAATTGCGCTCCGTTATTAGCAGACTTATTTTTATATTTATATGAAGCAGAATTTATGCAGAATCTTTTAATTGAAAAGAAGAAAACACTTGTTGTGGCCTTCAACTCGACATTTAGATATATCGACGACGTATTGTCAATTAATAATGACAATTTACATTCCTACATCGACACGATATATCCTGCTGAGCTTGAGATAAAAGATACCACAGTCCGACACTTCTGCTTCATACTTGGATATTTGACTTGAAAAAGACACTAATGGTAATCTAACAAGCAAGCTATATGATAAACGTAATGACTTTAGCTTTTCTATCGTCAACTTCCCTTACTTATGCAGCAGTATACCATCATCACCTGCATACGGAGTATTTATATCTCAGTTGATTCGATACGCAAGAGCATGCTCTACGTACGAACAATTTCTTAAACGAGGTAAATTATTGACAAGCAAGTTGATGAAACAAGAATATCAACAGTCTTGTTTAAAGTCATCATTTCGTAAATTCTATGGTCGATACAATGACCTTGTCAGCAAATACAATTTATCATTGAATGAAATGCTGACTGACGTTTTTCATACCAATTGTTAGTCCATTATTTATACACTGAATTGACCACGGATTTTTTCCGTTATATCCTGATTATGACAACGAGCACAAGGCGGGTGTGACCGGTCGGCAGGGGATGCTCACTCCTCCATGGCACCTGATCCCACCTCTGATGTTTCGGAGGTCCGTGTTTGCTTTGCTTTTGTTTTGTATATTTGTTTGATGGACGTTGAGATTGAATGCTGTTCGTTGTTTCCATATCCTTCTTAGTACTGTGACTGGTCGGCAGGGGATGCTCGCTTAATCCCATTGCACCTGATCCCACCTCAGGAGTTTTGGAGATCCACGTTTGCTCTGGTCCTATCTTGTATCGTTGTATGGACTGATTTTGAATACTGTTCGTTACCTCCATATGTTAGCTTTAATTATAAGTTAAAAGTTTTTCTTTTACTCTGTATTGGTACATGAATTTGCATTTGCTCTCGCTAGGTGCAGATTATTGGAAATTTACAGAATATCATCATCAAAAGAGTCAATAAGATTTTCGAATTACATTCTGTTTTTCGTATCCAGGTATAATTGTAAAGAGCTACAATGTCTCTGTCAAAGTACACGTCCACAACTGAGACAACAAACCTGGCACGTGTTGCCAGACTTATCCTCGGTCCTTGTACAGATGTTTTACGGGACATTCTCAGAAAGGAAGTTCCTCCCTCTACTTTATCAAGAACGGTTGGGACCTGGATTGATCACCTTAAGAACCAGAATGAAAAAAATCCTCTTTCAAAACAACACACAGATATCATTTTCCCGCCTCCTACAAAACAATATGGCGGAGATTACTCCGACTTTGATGTCACTATTCTATATTTTCTTTTACGAAACGTTTGCAACATTACTGAACATACGGTGGGATGGGGGAAAGAGCCAAATCCCGGAGATAGAAGTGTGTCTGCTAACATTGAAAGAATTCGACTGATAAGGAACAAATATTATGGACACACGTCAGACTTCTCTTTAGAGGAGTCCGATTTTAAACAAGAATGGAGGAATATTCGTGACATAATTGTAGAGTTAGAGTGTTATCTAGGAACAGCCACGGCCCTTCAGGACTCTGTTAACGAAATCAAAAAGTGCTCAATGGATCCAGATTTGGATAAAAATTACATCAATAAGCTTTTAGTGATTGACGAATTACAAAATACTGTTGAAATCCTTTCAGGTAACTATTATTGATTAGAGCTGGAATAAAGCGTTTAGCTTAAAGATTAAGCTATAATTTATATCTTATTCATGAAACTGTGACTTATGTTGTTGTTTCATCATGATGGTTACTGATTTATCATTTCAGATGACATTAAAAAACTTCAATGTGTGATCCCTGCGCATGTTAGAGGTATGTTATTCCACGACTTCTTGCAATAGAGCACAATATAAGAAACAATTTTTTTTACCAGATTGATCTTTCAAATCTATTCTTTTTCATCTAACTGAATTTTTTTCATTTCCTTCATCTCACTTAAATGATATTTTAATAAGTTAATGTATGTCTTGTTGTCGATAGATTTTAAAGGTAGAGAATAGGACTCAAATAAGTTTGCTGCACCTTTCAACAACTTGTTTGAAGAAAATATCATCCACATATTAAACTTATATATATTGTTTACGTTATACTAAAAACACAGTCATTATCAAATAACTCTGAACAGGCATTTTATTATGAATATTTATATTTTATAAGCACAACACGAGGCAGAATATATCAGAAAATGGAGAGAAGAAGATTCGGTATTTGTGGAAACCCATGGGTTCCTTGAAATGCTTCAGAAGGTGAGAGAGCAGCCTTATGTGACGTTTGTTGGTGTCCCGGGATCTGGTAAATCCGCCACAGCTCAGCACATTGCTCTGATACTGCAGAAGGAAGGATACGAAGTGGTACCTGTGTCGGATTTCAGAGATCTCACTGAGTATTGCGATCCTCAAAATCCTCAGGTTTTTGTTATCAATGATGTGATAGGTGTATTAGGTGTACAAAAAGCAAAACTAGAATCCTTTCTAGAGTATGAGCAAAAACTTATAAAACCGTCTTTTGAGAAAACAAAGGTTCTTTTGACATGCAGAGAAACTCTTTTTAACCAGTTAAACAAATCTTTCTTCACTAATGAACAAAATGTAATTAAGCTTCACAGCTTGGAGAATGAATTGAGTGAGGATGACCAAAGAAGTATTCTTGAGAAACATGGGTTAGATAGAAACCTATTGTCTTCTGCATTGCTAACAGAAGCATCGAGAATGTTTCCTCTCTTGTGTAAATTATATTCAAATGATCAAAAATTCAGAATCAACGGTGAGCGCTTTTTTATTAGTCCCATCCGATGCATTATCGAGGACTTCGACAAGATGCAACAAATAAACGGTTTGTTTTATGCAACGTTAGTGTTGTGCATGTTACATAACAACATATTGTCTGAAGATATTCTAAAGGATGGAGAAAATAAATGTCTTCAGAAAATGAAGTATGCAGTGTTGGAAAGCTGCGAAGTTGAATGTAGCACAGATACATTTAAGTTTGTAAAAGCATTGTCAGCGATGGAGGGGACATACACAAAACGTATTGGTACTACATTCATGTTTGTTCATGATTCCATGTTTGAAATAACTGCATATCATTTTGGTAGACAGTTCCCGGAACTAATTTTACAATACATGAAAAGTAGTTACCTTGCAAATTATGTGAAGCTTGAGGAATATAACTTTGAAAATGAAAATACTTTCCATTCAAAAAGCATTAACGTCATTTATGCACAAACTGGGAGTGGAAAAAACAGTTTGGAAGTAACGGATGTTAGCTGCGATGACAAAAATGAAGTCGGAGATGTTACAAATTTGTTTATTAAACTATCTAAAAACCTGTATTTAATGTTTGCAGAAAGGTTGTACAGAGATATCGAAAATATGGAATTGTATGATGTTTTTATGAATAATGCATTGAAAGACAATCAGTTTTGTAAAGATTTTATTGCTGTTTTGGGGAAAAGAACGTACGCAGAATTAAAAGATGTATTTCTTTCTAAACAAGAAAACGTATCTAAAATACTGGGAAACGAAAAACGTTATCATGAAAATAATGAGAAATGGAACAAAAGAATTGAGACACGTCAAGAAAAGCTTTTGGTAGATACGCGAGGAGGACCATTTTTTGTGCCATCAACATGCAATGTGAGAGTGATCAGCTGGGTAATATACTATGGACATCACCAAATACTGAGATACATTTTAGAACAAACTGAACTTCACAGAGAAACACAGTCTGTGCTGTTCAAAGGTTTTTCTGTCGGTCATGGGGGTTTTAGTGGAACGACAGAACAGGAAGCAAATATAGCAGAACAAACCCGCTTACTTGTTCTAAGTTGCTATAGTGGTGATATTGAGTCTGTTAGAATTTTACTCAAACATGTTGATTTAAACTCTTCTATAAATAGGACACCACAGCACAACAATAATTCAGGATATATATTTCCAATGGATACGCCACTGACTGCGGCATGTTTATTTGGTCTTATCTCTGTAGTGAAAGAATTGCTTGCGATAGGGGCTGGTGTAGATATACCAGGTCATATTCATACACCTCTGACAGCAGCGTGTCTTGGTGGGCATTTGAGTGTTGTAAAAGAGCTATGCAAAAGAGGTGCAAACGTCAATTTACATGGGAACCGGGGACATCAATTGCAGGTACATATCGGAAATGGTGTTTATATTCTTGCGGACTTAGTGTTCCTCAATTATGATAAGAATTTGAACGATTCTCAGTGTGTATCACCTGAAGAAGCTTTTTTTTCCGACAAAGATCCTCCTATAACACCACTGATATCTGCATGTCAAAAAGGTCATTTGATTGTGGTTAAAGAACTACTTGAATGGGGGGCTGATATCCATCCAAAATTTGTATTCAAAACTCCATTAACTGTTGCTTGTGAATATGAACATTTAAATATTGTGAAAGAACTGTTGAAGTTTGGAACAAATGTGAACTTCAATCCTTGGTATACAAATATTAGGTCACCATTTCAATATAGGACACCTTTAATGGCTGCTTGTGAAAAAGGAAATTTAGAAATTGTTAGAGAACTATTGAATGCAAATTCAAATGTTAATACAATGTTTGCAGGAAAAACACCATTGACTATTGCATGTTGGAAAGGATCTGTTGGTGTTGTACGAGAATTGCTCAGGAAAAGAGCTAATGTCAATGTACATGGTAGAAGTAGCACTCCACTCATAGCTTCCTGTACAAAAGGTCATGTTGTTCTTGTAAGAGAACTTCTAAATCAAGGAGCTGAAGTCAATCAGGAAATTGCTGATGAAACGCCTTTGATGGTTGCATGTAGAAATGACAGTACAAATATTTTAAATCTGCTTCTTAAAAGTGGCGCTAACACCAACTTCCAGAATAAGAGAGGCGAAACACCACTTCATGTTGCATTGAAAAACGAAAAACCATGCCCACTTGTTTTAAAAATGCTTCTTGAAAATGGTGCTGATTGTATTCTTTGTAGGAAAGACGGACTATCGCCATTGTACATTGCTTTGATAGAAAAAAATATAAACCTTATACGCCTGCATGAGCGGCCAGAAAAGAAGATAAAACAGAAAATAAATCTGCATTTGTTTCATATCCTTGTAGAAATTCGGCGTGTGGGCGTTATCACAGATAGTAAGGATGATGTAGTTCTTAAAAGGAATAAATTTTGGTGTTTAAAAGAGGACTGGCACTTTAACATTATCAAATATGCTGGTTGTGTTGAATTTAAACAACTTCTTAAATTTGGGCTAGATTCGAATCAAGACATTTTAATTTGGAGTAAATTTGGTGATATAGACCTGAAACCTCTACTTTTTAAAGTAATTGACGGCAGTAGGTTCCGAAATAGTGCGAGTCGAAGCGATGTCGTGAATATTCTTCTAAAAGCAGGCGCTGATGTAAATTTGAGAGCGAAGTACAAAGAATATACCTTTATTGTAGACAAAATTGGTGTATCCGCCTTAGAAAGAACGAGACGATTGATTTGTCAATGGAAAAACACCAACCTGGCGTTTGGTATGGAGTTCATACAACTAGGGGATTTACATTGCATAAAGAAAGACATAAAAAAACGTGTTAGAAGATACTCTGTTTAAAACGGGGCGATCATGATGAAGTTATTCTATGTTTTGTCGTAAGAAACATAAAAAAGTTTTTTCATTCATATTTCGATTTAAAGGTTCGGAAAGTTGCCTGCTGCAGTAACCGAATCAACATGATTATGACAAATGTAATATTTAATTTATCGAGATAACGAACAATATTCAAGATCAAAAGTCCATAGAACAATACCAAAAAGGAGCAGCGCAAACATGGACCTCCAAAACATCAGAGGTGGGAAGCGAAATAACCTTTGCTCATAGAATCCTCTTTTATATTTTGATAAATTCCAAACGATGATTAAGAAACATTTAATCAGGCTCATTACTATAAGAAAGGTTTCTACAATCTTGATAAAGAGTCAGAATTTAGAAATAAAAGTAAATCTATCATCTTCACTCTTTGATTGTATGTAAAGTCCTTTCTACAGATTGAATATGATAGAATTATTTACCTAACCGTGACAGTCAACGACGAATTTCAAAAGTGCAAGGGCATTTTTAAGACGAAATCATAATTAACTTTTTAAACATTTTAACACCCTGTTTGATATTTGAAAAGTGATGAGGTACAATATCTATTTACCATTTCATTGTTAAAATAAAATTTATACGACGTAACATGTTTTTGGATTTTACAAACCACGAGAAAATAGAATTCTAATGGACTGAGGGGATAAGGTACTAATTTGATGGTAAAGTACAGATAATGTACGACTGTTTGGATTAATGTTTTACATGTATACATGAGTAACAAATGGCCATTAAAACATGAACAGATATATCAGGAGTATAGCACAATGTGTTCGTGATCTTATCTTCCACTTTGAAATTCACTATCTGGTTGGAGTATTATTTATAACTGTATATTCTTTGTGGTATCTCTCTATTTCATAAACATGCAAAGAGCAAATATTTTTATACCTTTAAGAAGGATATGTAATTACGTGACCTAATCGCAAATATCAAAATTATAGATATAAAAGGATTTGTCCTATTCAGCAATTATTACAGTACTGTAATTTATGCGCTATATGTAAAATATATAAATGTATTTCATCCAAATAGGAAAAAACATGCTTTGATACGAATTTTTAGATGCATTGAACTTTATAATTTAGCACATGTAGTCAGGATCTTTTATTTTATTTTGTTTGTTTTATCTTCATAATAAACATTGGTTAGTATTTTTAAAATATATTCTTTCTGTATTTTGTCGATACTTTTGCAAATCTGCTGGAGGATGCCAGTGCCTATATGCCAATAAAGCATCAAGGAAGCAGCTAGGTTAAGACCGCCTGTAGAAAATATGCCTTGAAATATTAAGAGGAAATCAATACAATGTTGATGTATTTTTAATTTGCACGTGTTTTAATATAAAAGGACTTGTACTAAATAAATACTTATGTATGTATGGGTTCGCAACCGAGTTCGCCCAAAGCGTTTCTCATTTGACATGGTAAAAATTAGACAAAATATGTACGGATACAATGATCATAAATGTTCAACGATGTATCGATAAATTTCACTACGAAATGATTGTGCATTCTTTAAGACAAATTCCTTAACCCGATTATTGCTTGGAGCAACTTCCCCACGCCTGGGAATTATAAAAAAAATAGCCGTCTTTTGATAGACTTTTATTTTATTGCATTTACACTATATGCATTGAAAACTAGGGGAAGATATATTCAACACATAAAAAGCCATGTTTATGACCACATATCTATTAATCATGACATAATTTCCTCTAGTCAATACATTTTTACCTCATAGAGTGTGTCATTTTCCTCTTATCATGTGAATGTCTTAGGAAACGGCCTAAAGTTTTGAGTATTTTTTTCAATATTTCATATGGAGCACAACCTTTGATTCAAAATATGAAAATACTTAATGAAAGATTTATTGCTTAATTCAAAAATGTATTTTATTTTTTGGGTCGTGGGCTGCGCTTATATTTTGATTCATTGCTGAAGGTCGTCAAATACGCATGTTTTCTGCAAATTTCAGAAATTTTTCAAAGCCTGTTTTCCTGAATTTTTATTTGAAATATATACAGAAGGTTAGGTCAATCGCATGTTTTTTTTCAGAATTTTCATCTCTCCAGAGACAATATCAGTGTTCCTAGCGAATGGACCGGGTTATCATCACATAACACCACTGACAGCTGCATGTCTAGAAGGCAACCTGTTTGTGGTGAGCTTACTGCTTCAAATAGGGTCTGATGTTAATCCAAAGTATTTATGGAAAACGTCATTAATTACTGCTTGTGAATGTAGACGTTTGGATGTGTTGAAGAAACTTCTGAAATTTGGAGCCAAAGTCAATTTCAATTCTTGGCATCCAAGGAAACCAAATAAATACAAAACACTATTGACAATTGCCTGTAAAAAAGAAAACTTAGAAATGGTGAAACAGATTGAATGCAAAAGCAGTTGTTAATCCACATGGTGTATGTAAAACATCATTAGTAGCTGTATGCACAAATGAATACGTTGAGATGGTGAAATAATTGCTTAAGAAGGGGACTATTGTCAAACTACAGATTAGATATAGCATTCAACAGACAGCTGCATGTATTGGGAAAATTAGAATGTAGTGAAGGAGATGATACAAGATAATATGCCACTGATATTATTATGTGTGTATGGATGCAATAGTATTGTAAAGGAACTGATTGAGACGGGGGCTGATGTCAATTTACACGGTAAATATATAACACTCCACTTTGGAAAATTTTGATGTTGTAAAAGAACTACTGAATGCTGGAGCTAAAAATCAATTAAAGCACATTATGGAGTACGCCTTTTTGGCAGCATGTAGAGGGGATAATGCAAAAACATTAAAGGTGGTGCTTGAAACTGGTGATAACGTCAATTTACAAAACAAGAAACATATTAACGCAAGCGTCAAAAATCGGCCGCAAACCAATTTGTATAACTGTTGAAGTTCCTTTCAGAAACTGAAATTTGCTGTTTTAAAAAAAATTCTTCAATAATTGAAATTTGCTGTTTTTTTTTAATCTTATATTTATCTGTTAAAATATCCTCGTGACATGAAAAGAAACCGCATGCAACAATGCCGATTGCATAATGCATGTACAATATTACATGCACAGGCAAAATAAACTATGCATAGTCCTCTGCGTCTCTGCACTCAGTTTAATTGATACAATTAACTTAATTGCTGTTTAGGTAGTTCCATTAAAAGTACAAAACTAAAGTTTAAATTTAGCTATAGTTTTACCTTAATAAAAACGCAACAAATATATAACTTGTGGGGATCCTCGCTCTCTCTAATAGGATGTGAACCCCCCCCCCCCAACTCCTTCAAGATCCACCACTACATTTCTTCTCTTTCAATCTCTTTGTTTTGTTGAGATGTGGCGGGAAAATGTTTGGCACTTTGTAAAACGCGCTCTATCCTAGTCTCTTAGACCAACATGCCCTAATATTCTTTGCTTTTAAGAAATCAATATTTCATCATATTTTTGGAAACCACTCATAAGAAATGTTTAAATATACACTTCATTTCAAATTAATACAGCCGATCCTGTTTTAAAAAGAGAAAGTAAAATTGTTGATTTTGTTTTAGACTAGCTATGCCTAACACTCCTACTGATATTCTCCGCACTTCAGTTATATCAGAGTTTGTCAATCAGGATTGGATGAAATAGTTACCCCATTATTTATAAAATTGAATTTTACGAAGATTGTGCTTTTTCCTAAACATTTAAAAATTTTTGTTTGAAATTTAAACGCCGGCGATATGATGTTGATTATTTTTATTCAAATTGTTAGCTCCGCAGAAACGCACAGCGACTTAAAACTTTCATATCATATAACCGACCGCCTCCTGGCGGCCGGTAATAAAGAAGGGGAGACGGCGCTTTATAAGACTGTAAATAACGAGATCCCATCCATCATTGTATTGCAAATGCTTGTAGAGCGAGGGGCTGATTGCACAATTTGCACAAAATCTGGAATATCACCTTTATACCATACATTGATTAACAACAAGAGGAATTTTTTTTAAAGTTCTTTATAAAATGAGAAAGGAAACAACAGCAAATTAGAAAAAAATCTGCATTTATTAACTATACTAAGAGATATTAGGCATGCAGACATGGATACTGATAGAAAGGATGATGTGCTTTCGATGATGTGCTTTCAACAAAAAACTACCCTGGGATCTGAAAAGTAATTTGCGCGAAAAATTACTTCAAGCTGACAGTGATGTTATGAAACATTTGCTATGCATTGGTCTTGATTCCAACCAAGATATTTTTATTCGCCAAGAACCAAAACAATCGGACGTCAAGCCCTTACTTTTCAGAGTTATTGATTGCGATTTATTTTTTAATTTATTTCACATGCCACGAGAAATCAGTTAGTGTTTTACTTGAGGCCGGGGCAGATGTTAATGTGAGGGTCAAATACAAAGAGTATAACTGTGTGATTGACAGGGAGGGTGTGTCTGCTTTAGAGAGAACAAAGAAATTGATCTATGAAAACAAACATCCCAAAATAAATGTCTTCTATAAGAGAAGGAGGTTACATGCGTATCGAAAGTGTTTAAAAGAAATCAAGAAATATGTCAGAAGATACTCCATATGATTTGACTACAGGTAATTAACTTCTGAATAGTCATCCCCTACTGACAATGCTAAATAAGATTTGAAATGATGTTTGGTTGACTTCTCTCGACCGACTGACAAAAAATGGTCCAACTCTAAAGCTTTTTACGTTCCAAGACAAAATTTATCTTTTCATTCGTCCTCTAATCCAGTCAACAAATTTGATGAAATCTGGAAAGAAGATTTATACCACCTAACTACCGACCCAATAATGTAAACCTGATTCGGGATAAGACATGCAAATATAGTTTGAAAAATGTCCCTGAATGACTATAAATTTTAAGAGGAATAAAGTGCATTTAAGGGTCTTTTTAACATTTCTTTATTTAATGTCCTGTTTATTTTGAATTATATATATATA